GAGAGAAAACATCCCCCAGAGGGGGAGACCACACTGCGATCCCTTTTCTTTCATTCTCCACTCAAGATTTTGGGTGGGTATGCGCACCTGCCTGGCATGATTTTCCAGTTGCCAGGTCCAGGACTCGAACCACAGTTGACCATGTGTGAGCCTAGTTTCTTAACCACCATGTCATCTGGTGGTCCCCACAGCAAACCTTTAAATGATGATGATAACAATTTAATAACTTTGACTGAAAAATAGCAAAGCACAAATAGGATTCTGGTCTCAAAGTAAACTAATATAAAGTGATTGTAATTTATAAGTATTAATAAATCAAGGTAAAAAAATTAATACTATTTGTCCTGCAAAGGATATATCGGGTCGCAGGAAAAGTCATGATGGATATTTTGCAAAACATACCAAGACTTTTCCATGACTCAATAGCTCATATTATATATAGATAATATTAATCTTGAGGACGAGCAGATGGCAAAGCAGTTGCATTGCTGGACTCCCACATGGCCAAGTGCAGTTCAAGTCCTGGAGTCAGTGCCTTGAAACTCACACTGGGCACCTGTCCGTGCATGCCCAAGATCCCAGGAGGAGAGGGGATTGTGGCCATGGTCATGCATCCTGGGAAGTGCTTTCTCACTTTCCCTTTCACTATCTGTTCTCCATCTCTCTCTGGCAAGTACACACGCCCTAAGGCAAAAATCTCTTAAAAAAAAATACTAACCCTTGGACAATGTTTGATGTTATGAAATAATGCCTTTATAAATTTTAATATTTTAATATTATATAGTTATACAAAATGGACCTAGCCCAAACAGAACTACCCTATTAGTCAGGGTTCTTGAGCATCTGTGATTTCAAATTTCACTCATTTATCATTTCATTATTGGTGGACGTGTAAACTACTATTAATTCAGAAATAGACGATTTAATTTAGTTTTTTTTCCAAATCCAGTATTTTATGCTTCAGTTCTCTCTAAGATGGCAATCTCTATGCACTGATACCTTAAGTGATAACAATACAACCAAAGGAACCTTTACAAACAATGGTACCATTCATTTAACCGTTTTTTTAATAGTTTTGATAATCTTTGTGAACATGCCCACAAGCTGAAAATAAAACTTCTTTAATAGAAAAGACTCCTCATTGAATTAAGAAATACCTCTATGGGAGCCTGCGGGTGGCATGTGGTTAAGGTGCTGGACTCCCACGTGTGGACTGTAGTCTGAGTCCCATACCTGGCGGCATGAAAATTATGCTGGGTACATGTGTATGTGTATCCAAAATACCGAGTGGAAAATGGAAGAGAAGGGGTTGTAGCGTGGCCATCTTCCCAGAGAAGTGATTTCTTACTTTCCCTCTTACTGTCCCTCTCTGTCTCCATTGAGTGCATGTACCCTAGGGCAAAAACTTAACAAAAATAAACTAATTAAAAGATACACCTCTACAAATAAGGAAGAAATAATGAGGAGGTAAACTTTTTTGGTTCCCTAGTTACAACGATGCCTTGGTACCAAATGCCTGAATATGTCATTGAATAGGATAAAGTTTCAAAATCTTTAGAATTCCAGTCTTAAGTTTTCTTCTTTGGTTTACAATTCTATTCAGGCGAGGTCTGGCCACTACTCACATTTGATGAAGAACTTGTGCCATGGCAACTCCATTAGTCAGCTGTTTGACATCTTGACAGGGTGAGGCAGTATTGAATGTCTGCAGCTAAAAATCACAATAAAGCAAATGACTTTAGGCTTCTTTATATCTACAGGGGGGGATTACAAAGTGAATAAATAAATGACAACCAGCTAAAAATTGTCCAGTTCTTCTTAAATGACAAATGAAACTATACTAGTCAGTCAGTTCCTGTGACAAAGCAATGTTTTTATAAAAAATAACGCTTAACATTTCATATAATGATCTCCATAAAAGTAAAACACAGGGGCTGGCCTATAACACAATAGTTAAGAAAGCTGGATTCCTACCTGACCAACTACAGTACAATTCCCAGCCCTGGTGGCTTGAGTCATATGCCAGGGATATGTGCATGCATGCCCAAAATCCTGACATGAGAGAGGGTAATACAGGAGAATGGATGGCTGCATAACCATGCCCTATTATGGGGTGCTTTTTCTCTCTGTCTCTGTCTCTCTGACACGCACATGCTCTTTGACAATCAAAAAAAAAAAAAAGTAAAACACATTGATATCATGTACAAATTAATTTAGAATTTCTAAGTAATCTAAAGTATAACTCTTAAGATAGTAATTATCTTGTGTTTTGTCTACTTTCAGGAGACCATATCAGAAAAAGAACTTTGAGATAACTCATATTTATAAGTTAAAACTTCACTCACCTCATTTGGTGGGAAAACAAAGGCTTGAAATGTCAAGACTGAAACTACTTACAGTTGATGCACAAACTCTGACCTGAGAACTGGCTGCTGTTACTTCGTGGCAGTTAGCCTACCATTAAGACCTAAGCAGTCACGCGCCCTCCCAACTGTCAGGCTGCTTCCGTCCAGTCTGACTTCAGATACTACCAACATCTTTTTACATGACATTTTATGTTTTAAAAATACTTTCTTTTCTAGAAAGCATGGGCACATTAGAGATTCCCACGGTGGGAAAATAATAATTTATTATTTATAGTTTTATATTTGTGGAAAGATGATTTTTTAAATAATTATTTAATTATATTATTATTATTATTATTATTATCATCATCATTTTGGGAGAGGTTTTTGTAATAGGGTACATGCACTCACCAGAAAGAGAGAGACAGAGAGATAGAAAGCGAGAAATCACCCCCTGGGAGGATGGCCATGCTACAATCCCTTCTCCATTCTTCTCTAGGGATCTTGGGCACGCACGCACGCACATGAGCCCAGCATGAGTTTAAGCCACTGGGTCAGGGACTCGAACCGTGGTCAGCTACATGGGAGTTCAGCAACATAACCACTACGCTAACTGCTGGTCCCATATTTTTTTAAAATTTGGTATAGGACATGTGTGCTCACTAGAGACAGACAGACAGAGAGAAAGAAGAGAGAAAGCAAGCTACCAGGTCCAGGAGGGGTCAGCCATGTGGGAGTCCAATGCCTTCACCACCATGCCATCTGCTGGCCCTCAGACAGATTAGTTTAAGTAAAATATGTGAGAACATTACACGGCAGTCAGAATGTGTAAAATTTTGATAAATCTATAATTCTCTAAAAGGAGCCTGTCTATAGTCAGAAGCTCTCTAAGCTTTTCTTTCTAAGATTTAGAAATTCATCATGTGTAGTACTGGCATTTCCTAATTTAAAAGTTTCCCTAGGATATGTAACCATTGGGAGATGGTATCCACGGAACAGATGGGCAAGTTTCCAAAAATTAAAACACTAATTCTCTGCAAACTCTTTATTTAGAACTTAACAGTCTTTCCTTTTACCCATTATTCCCAGAACAAACATAGCAACTGGATCATGTGTTGTCAATAATAAAGCTGAATTCTCTTTTAGAGATTTATAAAGTAAGTAGTAAAAGCTCACATATAAAGTTTAATCATACCATGAGTCTTCTCAGAAGTTTGGAGACAACCCCATTAGCTCACTAGAATACAGAATTTAGTCTTACAATTTGTGGATACCTTTCGAATCTTTTCTTCAATAATTAAATTCTGAAGACAATGTGACAGGAGAAAGGCTCTGACCACCAGTGGACTTATGTGCCAGTCCCTCCTGATTGTGAGATGACTAACATGACAGCAGAGGCGAACAGGCACGTGACCAGTCCTTAAGGCATTAAGTCAAAAAGGTTAGCACTTCCACAGCATGGCAGCAGCTTCGCAGATGCCCGCATCATGCCAGCTGAAATAACAAAGCTCAGCAAAAAATAAAGAGTGCCAAAAGGCCTTTTTTGGCAGCTTTCTGTGAAGCATCCTCATGAACACAGTCAGTGACTACTTGTCCCAGGCCCCAGGACTACGGAGAGTGAGGGCTGCAGCCAGGGAGCAGTCCATCTCAGAGCAAGGAAGCAAATAAGCAGCTGGCAGTGGGGCCAGGAGTTAACACTGACTACACTCTCACGAACACAGTGGAGCAATGCAGCCTTACAACCAGAATGGTGGCGGGTGAATGCACAGGTGATAGGTGAAGGTATGGCACTCTCTGTGCTCCAGATCCTCTTGGGGTAGGTCAGTCCTGGAGAAATGTGGAGATATGAGTAGGTCTGACCCCAGGGATTTGGAACGAGTTCCCAAAAAGTAAACACTAATTATCTGTTCAGCCTCCTTAGATAATTCAGGATATTCAGGCTTCCAAGAATCACCATCTTGCTACTGAGGGATTACAAACTTTCATTTTTTTATTTCCACATGCATGTACACATTAAAAAAGACAAGTACAGGACCAGCAGATGGCGTAATGATTACATCACTGGACTCCTACACAGTCGACTACGGTTCAAGTCCCAGACGCAGCAGCTTGAAACTCATGCTGGGTGTGTGGGTGTGCATGCCAGGATCCCAAGAGGAGAATGGAGGAGAAGGAATTACAGCATGGCCATCCCTTCTTGAGGGTGATTTACCTCTTCCTGTCTGTCTGTATTGAGCGCATGTGCTCTAAAGCAAAAATCTCTATGGTGTGCTGGCTAAGGTAACAGGATCAAATACTGAAGTTCTAGTCCCAGATCTGGCAGCTTGATAAACACGCCAGGCATAGGTTTATGCATGCCCAAAATCTAAAATAGAAAAAGTGGAGGAGAAGGGACTGCAATGAAACCATTCCCCATGGGGGTTGCTTTCTCACCCCTCCACCCTATCTCCAGTGAGTGCATGTGCCCTCTGGTAAAATTTAGGAGGAAAAAAAAAAAAACTTTTAATAAATTTTAATATGATGGAAAGGGGGAAATACAGTGTTTTTTTTTTTTTTTTTTTTTTTAAAAATTTTTACCAGCTTGGGGGGGGGGGGGGGGGGAAAGAAAAGCCGGGGGGGGGGGGGAGGTGAGAAAGCAAGCCACCAGGGCCCAATCATAGTTTTAATATGGAGTGGTAGCTCTTTGCTCTTTAGTTTTAAAGAAAGAAAGAGCAAATTTATACAGAGAAAGGAAAAAGTCAATAGGGATAAGGAAGTTGTAAATATAGAAAAGTGAAAACAATGGAGCAAAGTTCTACAAGAGGAGGAAGGTGCATGTTCTAAAGTCAGAGCCAAAGGTAAAGAGGTGGTCATTTCCTCCAGGGGAGGAAGAGCTGGGGGCTCAAACAGAGCATTAATAAAATTTGCTAAGATTAACGTGAGAGGAACTTACTGGTTCTTTTTATAAGTTTATTTATTTATTCCATGAGAGAAGGAGACAGACAACGAGCAAGAGAGATACGTACTCTCAACAAGGTCTTCAAGGCTGTGAGCCTCCTCCTAGCTTCAACACATCACCGACACACGCGTGCAATTACCATTCCCCAACCTGCCTGCCTCCTTCTGTGTACAGAGAGACCTCAGGACACAAACCTGGTACCTTCCCACATGGCCTCTGCCCAGCAGAGCATGTGTTAACTCTTATGCCACCACTGATGCCCTGTCTGGTTATCTCTAACAATAAGGCTGGGCTGTGTAATGGGAAAAAGTGTATTTGGACATAGCAGCATTCGTAGGGGCAAGTTTATATCCAGTTTTCTTCACAGAGCTCAATGGCCTGAGAGAGGACTAGGGAAGCAAACACATTTACTGTGCCATCTATAATTCCTTATTATTTGGTTTATATTACTTGTGCAGCTTTTAAGGAGTTTTATCTTCCAGGGTAATTCTATACAGATAACTGCAGTCTCTTCTGCAGGAAATCACTACAGATTGGTTGAGTAAATGGATATATCAGTCACATAAAATGTTAACATATTGCAATACCATTCAAGAGAACCCTGTGCTTCTCCACCACCTCACTTATAAGCCAGTGACATCATAAAGACTAAGACTACAGCCTCAGTCAGATGTTTAGAGCAACAATGTAACAGATTAGGGCATACTATAATTAGCGACTTGTTTTAACAAAACAGATCATTAAAACTAATGTTCTCTTGCTTCCTGGGAGTCTTAAACAGAGCATCTCAGCCCCAGTAGTTATTTTAAATGAAAATACAGTTGAACAGTTAGCTGAGTTAAACTCTGAAGCTCTAAATATGTGTGTTCTCCGTAAAGCAACTGCTATTTACTTCCAAAATGTAAAAGTTGCTTTGAGTTAGTTATTTCTAATAGATCCCATACACTTACAGAAACCTTCCCACTTTCTCATTCGTTGGCACCGCATGCATTAGGAATCTAATGCTTGGAAATCTCATCAACAGATTACCGCCTCCCTTGATCCAGTTTGTTTACATTCCACCGAGCACATAATTTAACGACTGGTTTGGAGATGAGCAATGTCAACAGCATCTTGTGGACCACGGATCATCATCCTTGCCCAATACGGGTTAGGAACCACACCTGGATGCCAGCTCTCAGGTATCTAAGCAATTCCAAGAGAGGACATTTTGCTGACTAAAATAGGAAGAATCTGGGACCAGATCTTGCATGTTCAGAACTCATCGAAAACCTAAACATGGATAAAGTGGAAAGCAAAATGCTAATCTTTTTCTCTAAAGAAAATGTTGACCATTTGGAAAGGCACAGGAAGAAAAAGAAAAAAACGAGCCCCCACTCCCAACACATCTTTTTCTTCACAAAATCTACGTGGAAACCTCTCTTCAAAGCGGCTTCTATGAAGTCAGTCCTACAGTTCTGGTGGAGCACTTTTCCCAGACTGACAGCCACCTCCTGCCCCACCTGCGTCCAACCTCAGCAAGGTGGGCAGGGAGGGAGGTGAGCTTTCAGAGGAGACTTCACTCCAAGAGGCACAGAGGTCCGTCCCTATGGGAAGGCTATTAGGCAGACTGAGGGGGGAGAATCAGTGGTCCAGAAAAATCTAGGGCTTGGGGCAACCGGCAGGGGGCAGAACTGGGGATGGGGAGCGAAAGGAATGGGTGCTAGATTCCTGTCACAGCTGTTAGGGACACCAGCTGTTAGGTCGGTCCTCCAGCTATGAGCACCTCCAGGGTTTCGTCCCCCGAGAGCTTCCTTCACCCCCACCCCAGACATAAACACACGCACACGCGCGCACACGCACACACATACACCTGCCCCGGGACCGCAGGTGGCACTCTCGCGGTCAAGGGCGACAAGAAGCGCAGAGGGCAGAGGACCAGGCCGCTGCGCAGGTGGGCCCAGCTCCTCCCGCTCACCTGCGGGGACCCGGCCCCCCTCGGCCCCTCGCACTCACCCAGATCATCAGGCTGTCGCAGAGC